TCGCCGCCAATCGGCCGCGGGGTCCTCGCGCTCCGCCCGCAGCTCGAAGAGCGCCCGGGCGGAGCGGAGCCACAGCTGGCCCTGCTGCAGGTCCGGGGCGAGCCCGCAGAGCGGCCCCAGGGCGGCCACGTCCCACTCCTCCCGTCTTGGCCCCCAGAAGTATCAGGGAGACGTAAGACTCGGGTTCGGGGAACTCGGGTTGGCCAGATTGGAACATCATGAAAATGACGAGACCCAACCTGAAATTTAACGAGAGCTCCCGCTGAAAATATCCCACGAAAACTGAACCGTCAAAACCCAGGACTCGCTCGTCAAAAAGCGTCGGCAAACCCGAGTTCTGCCGTACTCGAGTCTTACGCTTCCCCGAAAGTAAGGAGCTGAACTCTATACACCAATATTTTCCCGGGCCCCGCACGGAAATACGCACAGGACAGCGGATCCTGGTGTATGCGGGATCCTGGTGTGTACATGTGTTGTTGTTTGGGAGAACGGGGGAACAAGTATACACCACCCCACCCCGACGTCGTCCCCGACCCCCCCCCAAAAAAAAAAACTGGGATTGAACAACAGCCCGCCATTAGCAATGTACGTGTTCCAGCTTCCGAAGGAGGAGGGGGGCTCGCGCCAGGGGTTCCGGCCAGGAGCTTGTGCAGTCAGTGCCGCGGCGGCGGCACCAGTGACACGCCATGCCATGCAAGCGGCTGGCGTGTCGCTCCGCCCCGCGGGGCGGGAGGCTGGGAGAGGCTCGGGGCGTCGGCGCTTCGGAACGGGAACGTGGGCAGCGCGTCGCGCCGAAACGTGGTGGGCCAGAACCGGCGGAGCTGCATGCTGACCGAAAGTTCACGACCGTGGGGGAGTGGACCGGCTCAGGGCGAGGAGAAAGGATGGAGAGCGGGGGGGAGGTTCGAGGTTCGAGGCCTTCGGACGTTTGCGTCGGCTCTCGGAGGGTCTCCTGCCTCGGGGTGCCTTCCAGCGGCTGCGCATCGTCGAGGGCGTTCCAGAGGTGCCCAGATCGTCCCGACGGGACGCCGGAGAGCCGAGCCATGGCCCGAAAACCTCCGGAGGAAAGTTAGGAGGGGACCAGCTCGGAGGGGGGGGAGGAACATCGACCTCGAATCGGCGGATAGCTGCATCGCCGATAGATCGGCGCAAGGTCCCCGAGAACGACGCGGCAAGCTCCTGGGTGGGGCGGGCTATCGGAGAGGCTTTCCCCCCCGACGTGGCCCCTGACCAGGTGGGGTATAGCCCAGCCCCGTTCGAGTCGGGAAAAGATCGCGACGGCAAGCGTTTGGCAATTTCCAGCTTCTGGGGGACCTTACGGAGCCCTGGGACCCTCAGGAAACGACTCGCTGCGAAAAAACAGTCCCAGGGAAGGGGTCCAGACCTCTGGGAATCCACGTCGTGTAAAAGTCACGACGTCGGAGGTCTGGGAAAGAGGGCTCCTCATCCTCCCCATCCTCCTCCGCCTCCGCCTACGCCTCCGCCTCCTCCTCCTGCGCCTACGCCTCCGCGTTTTATCCCTCCTGATCCTCACCCCCTCCCCCTTCTGCCAGTCTTCCTCCTCGCGAGCACGAGGTTCGCGCACGAGGTTCGTGGCGAGAGGTCTGCCCAGACATGCGGCGTCTTGATTTGTCCAACACAAGGTCCCCCGAAGTCCCGACCATTTCCCCTGGGCCGGCTTTTCGTCCCGAGTCGGTTGTCGACGGTCCCGAGGCCCTGCGAGGGCCCCCAGAGGCCGAAATGGCCAAAAAACTCCCGTCGCATTTTTGATCCCGACGCGAGCACGTCTGGGTTCGAGCCGTCGGAGGCACGCGGCGAGGAGGCCCTTTCGCCTCCGAGGCTCCCCGAAGCTCCTGCTGCTGCACGACCTCGTGGGTGACGCGGCTCACAGCCGCCCAGCGGTCCTCGAAGACGAGGACCACGTGGTACGCGGTGAGGCCCATCGACAAGGGTACCGAGGAGGGGCCGGGGGGCTCCTGACCGGCGCGCGGCAGGGGCAGAGCCAGGGGTGGGCGGCCTTCGAGGGTGCAACCTGCACCCGAGAAGCCCCGCCGCCTCCCGAGGAGCTCTCCCTGGAAGCCTCCGACCAGAGGGCCCGGGCCCCTCTTGCAAGCCCCCCGAGACATGGCCGATCCCCCGAGAAGCCCCCGCTGCCTCGGCGTCAGCCATGGGGGAAGCGGGTCCCGAGGGAAGCGGGTCCTGGCCCTTCGGGGCCTTCCCCCAGAACAAGTGCTTCCTCCCGAGCTGCCATCGGACAATCCCGGGGGGCCCGTGGAGGCCCCCGAGGGCCCGACAAATCGGCGAAACACGCCAGGACCCGTTTCCGTCAGCACCCGCTCCTCCTCCTCCTCCTCCTCCTCCTCCTCCTCCTCCTCCTCCTCCTCCTCCTCCTCTTCCTCCTCCTCCTCCTCCTCCTCCTCCTCTTCCTCCTCCTCCTCCTCCTCCTCCTCCTCCTCCTCCTCCTCCTCCTCCTCCTCCTCCTCCCTCCTCCTCCTCCTCCTCCTCCTCCTCCTCCTCCTCCTCCTCCTCCTCCTTCCCCCATGGCGACTTCGGAAGGCCGCCCCCTCGCCCCACCCCCGCCGCGCGGTGCGCCGCTGGGCTCCGGGAGGAGCGAGCCGACGAGGCTGCCGCTCGGTCGGGCGCGCCTGCCCGCGGGCCTCGTCGAGCGCGGGAAGGCTATGAGGCCGGGGGGGGCCTCGAGGAGCGTCCCCTCGGCGTCCAGCCTGCTCTCCTGGGCCGGCCCGGGAGGCAGCCGGGGAGAGGCCCACACGCTGTGACGGTCGGGGTCGCTGCCCCCACCAACCCCCCACCCCAGTGACGAGAACAACGTGAGGAAGAGAGCGCCCCCCCATTCCCCCTCCCCGCTTCCTTCTCCTCTCCTCCTCCCCTCCTCCTCTCCTCTCCTCCTCCTCCTCCTCCCTCCTCCTCCCCTCCTCCTCCTCCTCCTCCTCCTCCTCCTCCTCCTCCTCCTCCTCCTCCTCCTCCTCCTCCTCCTCCACCATCACAACAACCACCTCAGCCGCCTCATCCTCATCCTCTTCCTCGTCCTCCTCATCAGCATCGTTGTCAACATCATCATCATCATCATCATCATCATCATCATCAGCAGCAGCAGCAGCAGCAGCATCATCATCATCATCAGCATCAGCATCAGCATCATCATCATCATCATCATCATCATCATCATCATCATCATCATCATCATCATCATCATGACCATCATCATCAACATTATCATCATCATCAGCATCATCATCATCCTCATCATCATCAGCAGCATCAGCAGCATCATCACCATCATCATCATCCTCATCAGCAGCATCATCATCTTCTTCAACATCATCAGAACATCATAGTCATCATCAGCAGCCCCATCGTCACAATCAGCATGGTCAGCATCATCATCATCATAATCAGCAGCAGCAGCATCATCATCAACAGCATCAGCATCAGCATCAGCATCAGCATCAGCATCATCATCATCATCATCATCAGCAGCAGCATCAGCAGCAGCATCAGCATCATCATGGTCGTCATGATCATCGTCAGCATCAGCAGAAGCATCGTCACAATCAGCATCGTCATCATCATCATCATCATCATCAGCATCACCATCATGGTCGTCATGATCATCGTCAGCATCAGCAGCAGCATCATCAGCAGCATCATCACCACCATCATTATCATCAGCATCATCATCAGCATCGTCATCATCCTCATCATCAGCAGCAGCAGCATCATCATGATCATCATCATCATCATCAGCATCATCATCATCGAACTATCATCACCACCACCGAATCAGCATCAACATCATCATCACCGTCATCATCATCAGCATCATCGGCATCATCATCACCATCATCGTCACCCTCGTCATCATCATCATCAGCAGCAACATCATCATACGCATCATCAGTAGCAGCAGCATCAACCCCCTCCTCTCATTATCCTCTTTGAAAGCAGCAACATACCCCTGCGAATCCTCAACAGCATCCTCCTCGGAATCGCCGTCATCATCATCATCATCATCAGCATCATCAGCATCATCAGCATCATCATCAGCAGCAGCATCATCAGCAGCGGCATCATCACCATCATCTTCATCATCCGCATCATCATCAGCATCGGCAGCACCACTATCATCAGCATCGTCATGATCATCATCAGCTCATCATCAGCATCATCACCACCATCATCACCATCATCACCATCATCTTCATCATCACCATCATTTTCACCCTCACCATCACCATCACCTTCACCATCAGCGTCATCGGCATCAGCAGCAGCATCATCATCAGTATCAGCATCAGCACCACCTGCACCATCAACATGCTCACCATTCACATCCTCACAATCAGCATCATGATGTTAAGCATCATAATCATCAGCAGCAGCATCATCATCGACATCATCATCAGCCTCATCAGCATCATCATCAGCATCATCATCATTATTATCAACACCTTCATCGGCCTCATAATCAGCATCATTATCAACATTGTCGTCAGCCTCCTTTCCATCATAATCATCATCGTCGTCATCATCATCAGCACCGTAATCCTCGTCAACATCATCATCATCATCAGCAGCATCATCATCATCATCATCAGCGTCATCATCATCGTCGTCGTCGTCACCGTCGTCGTCGTCGGCATCGTCGTCGTCACCGTCACCGCCACCATCATGGTAATAATGATAATCATCAGCATCATCGTCATGATCAACTTCGTGGCGGTCGTCTCTGTCGTCGCCGTCATCAGCACCACCATCAGCATCCCCCTCCTCCCCGTCCTCCTCCTCCTCCTCCTCCTCCTCCTCCTCCTCCTCCTCCTCCTCCTCCTCCTCCTCCTCCTCCTCCTCCTCCTCCTCCCCTCCCCCCTCCTCACCCCTCGTCCCTCCCCTTTCCCTCCCTGCCTCCTGCCCCTGGTCATCCTTCCGTTTCCTCTTTTCACGACCTCCTACTACTCCTGCTCGTGTTCCTCACCCTCCTCCTCGTCTTTCTTTCTCTCTCTGGTGAAGGGAAACGGTCGAAACCCCACAAGGATAATGGCGAATCGAGCATGGAGGGAGCGACAGCAGCGCGTCTTATCATCAAAAGAGCCACACACACATTCACATATATATACACACGAATAAGCATGTTATTATATACACACGAATCAAAAAATAAAAATAACGACAGGTAATCATAGCAATAATAATACGAATTGAAATGCGAACACGAAGAATACTAACAATAATACTCATGGTAATCGTCACCATCATCATCACCACCATCATCATAACCATCCTCATAATCATGATCAGCGTCAACATAATCTTCACCATCACCGTTAACATCACAATAACTATGACATTAGTAGTGATGATCATAATTTTCATGAGACTAAGGATAACCAACATAATACACTCTGCTCAGCCCTTAGGCGCGGTGTAGACCATTGAAACAAGCGCTGCGGTTGCCAGGAAATGTGTAGCACTGTCTATTCCGTGAGACGGTACACTTCCGGGGGGGGAACTGGCAGCAGACTGTGCCTCACTGAACTGAATGTTCAGAGGGACCTACGCCGGTGCGCGAATCAGTCTTCTAAAAAACGGCACGGAGATCCAGGAGGTAGAGGGCAGCAAGCATGGCCGAGTGTCCGCAGCCAGCGCGGTCCGTCCTAGCTCCTGGTGTCTACTCCCAACTGTGGATCATACAGTCCATGCCATGTGTACAAATATCGTATCACTTCCATCCCTCTTTATAATGAACTTCTCTGTGTCGCACCTCGAGAACGGTCGATAGGGCGGGCCGGGCGTTTCCCCTGAGACTTCCTCACCACGTATGATCCTGAAGCTTGACATGTGCAATGGCGTCATGGATGGAGGGCGGGTCGTTCTCATAATGTGATTCCCGCCTTAGCGCCGCGCACACTCATCTTAGGGTCGTTTTCAAATGTGGTTCTCGCCTTCGCGCCGCACGCATTCGCCTTAAATGTGTGCAAGAGCTTCACGGATGGACGGCGGACCGTTTTCAAAATGTGGTTCTCTCCTTAGCGCCGCGCACATTCGTCTTGAAAGTTTAAAACTATGTCACGGATTCTTATGGTGACGTCACAGAAACGGCGTTTAGAAACAATTTGAAACTGTCAAGACGTGACGGCGATGTTGATTCTCGGTGCTGACGTCCTAAAATGGTGTTCTGGCACGATTTAGCATCGTCGGGTCGCAAAGTGACGTTGCTTCGCGGCGTCGAAGTCCCAGAAACGATGCTTCAGCACGGTTGAAAATTGCAGACGGTTGTCTGCCAACGGTGCCCTTCCCGCAATGTCAATACATCCTTATGGGAGCCTGCGGAGAAGGAACCTGGAAGGTTCATTTGAACATCTTTGGTGAGTCTTGGGTTTTCACTGGTCCTCCCCCTCCTCGCGCACCCACAGACGCGTCGGTAGGGCGGGCCGGGAGTTTCGCCGCAGACTTCCGCACCTCACAACGTTTGGTCATGAGGTTTGAAATCTACAACAATTTCAAGAATGCAGAGCGGGCCTTTTTAAAGATTGCTTTCGCCTCAGCGCCGAGCACACTCGTCTTAAAACGATTGCCAACAGCTTCAAGGATGGAGGGCGGTTCAAAATGTGGCTCTCGGCTCAGCACGGCGCACATTCATTTTGAATATATGCGACGGTACATAGGGGGGCCGGTTTTCAATGTGTCGCTCTCGCCTTAGCGCCGCACACATTCGTACTGTACGGTTGGGCTCCCAGGAATGGTTTTCTGGCACCAGTTCGGATTGTCAGGACGCAACAGCCACGTGGGCTCGCAAAGCTGAAGTCCCAGGAATGGTGTCCTGGCAAGGTCTGGGATTATCCAGACGCAAAAGTCGCGTTGATTCGCGGCGCTGAACTCCGAAAAGTTATGTTTAGCACGATTGAGGATTCTCAATTGGCTGTCGTCCAATGGGGCAATTCCCGCCATGATAGCAAACTCTGGTGGGTACCTACGAAGAGGGAACTTGACGGGAGGGGTGACTACAACATTGGTAATGCGTCTTGGGTTTACACTGGTCTTCGCCCTCCTCCTTTTTCCCTCCTCTTTCTGGTCTCTCTCATCGTCCTCCTGAACCTCCTCCTCCTCCTCCTCCTCCTCCTCCTCCTCCTCCTCGCTCGCTACCTACCTACCTAAGGGGGGCCTAAAAGTTCGAAGCCCATGCTTAAAGGATGAGAGCAAGGCGAAGACAGTACCCCCTAACATGCACGCGAAACGAGAGTGGAGGGTGACGAGGGCGACTCAAGTGACGATCGTAGCTGACCTCACACAAGCGGCCTCGGCGAGAAGGGTCGAGGCCTCCTCCTCCCACCTCCTCCTCCTCCTCCTCCTCCTCCTCCTCCTCCTCCTCCTCCTCCTCCTCCTCCTCCTCCTCCTCCTCCTCCGCAAATCCTCCCAGGCCCCCGCCCCCTACCCCGCTTCGCTCGGCCGGCCCCCCCTCCAGATTGGCCGCCAGCACGCCCACGCCCGTCAGCCAGAAGAGGACCTTCGCGGCGGGGGGGCCCACGCACCGCGGCACCACCTGGAGGTCGCCGCGGGGGGACGCCTCCGGCACCTCGAAGACCAGGGCCCTGGACGTCGCTCCTGGAAGACGGAGGAACTCCATAAACATTCCAAGATGGCTCCTCGAAGAGCTGTGGGGTTGTACAGTCGAGGCGTTGACCTAGGGAACCCTAAATACGGAACGAGGCCCCTTTTTTCCCATAAGTTAACCTTCGGATTCCGATCGAAGACCTAAGCAAAACCTAGGGCGAGCTGCAAAACAACTAAGGAACACTGAGCCCCTCCCAAACGAAAAGGGTTCCTTCTTCAGCGCCCCGACTGTAGAATGAGAAGCCAGCACCGCAGGGTAGCCCCGGGGCTCGTCCCGGCGTCCGCGGATACACCTCGGCGGGTCTTGCCTGAACTCGCAGCGCGGGTCCCGGCAGGCCTTTTCTGGGCGTTTCCCAACACGTACGCCGGGAAGCTCTCCAGAAGCTCCTTCGGAAGCTCCGTCCAGGAGCTTCCAGAGCTCCCTCGAGAGGCCGTTGGACGGCCCTCTGGCGCTCCGCTATCTGGGTTTTGGACCACACAAATAAACTTTCGAAGGTCCGCGTGCGCGGAGCGCGCCAAGGGGGGCCAGCCCAGATCCAAGAACTCCGCGGGGACCTCCAAAAGTCTATGCGCATTATTCGTTTGTTTTTCGGCGGCGAGCGAGGGGGGAAGTGAGAAGGAGAAGTCCTTCTCAGAAGGTTCGGAAATCCACCGGCCTTCTGAGAAGTTTTCCAAGCCTCCCCCGAAGATGGAAAAAAACTCTCAGAAGGCGCGAGGGCTTCTGAGAACTCCTACCGCCTACTGAGAAGGCCGTCTCGTTCTCACCTCCCCCCTCGATCGCCGCCGACATGCAGGCCCCGTGAGTTTACACCTGCAGCAGGAGTTCCGGGGTGTAGTCGATCAGTGATTACGGGCCCCCAGGGCTCCAACTTTGCAGAGGGAGGAGGAGGAGGAGGAGGAGGAGGAGGAGGAGGAGAAGGAGGAGCAGGAGCAGGAGGAGGAGGAGGAGACCTTCTCCCTCTCGCTCCCCCCCTCTCGCTCGCCGCCGCGCTTCGCCCCCTCGAGCTCCTGCGCCCTGGTACCTCTGGAAGAGGCAGTCCAGCGTCGGCCCCACGAAGGCGTACAGGCCCGTGCCGACGGCCGCCAGCAGCACCATCCTCTCGGCGCCGTCGGGCGCCAGCACGCGGTCGCGGTGCACGCCGCACACCGGGGACACCCGCCTCTCCGCGGAGGCGGGCTCGAAGGCGAAGAGGGCCTTGACGGCCCGCTCCTGTCGGCGGCGCGCCCCAGGGGAGGAGGAGGAGGAGGAGGAGGAGGAGGAGGAGGAGGAGGAGCATCAAGGAGGAGGAGGAGGAGGAGGAGGAGGAGGAGGAGGGGGAGAAGGAGGAGGAAGAGGAGTATGGGTATGGGTATGGATACATGACAACGTCAGGAAAGCAAGCAATGACAATAATGACATGCTGCATGCAATGCGACGAAGGGCCTACCCTCGAGACGCTCCTCCGCGTCGGGTGGCCTTCTCCGTCTTGCTCAGAACCTTTGGCCAGAGCCCACGGGAAATCCTGGAAAGGTATTCAAGCCTGTTGGCAGTGGGACGCTGACAAGGACGGCCAAGCCCGTCTAGCAGTTGATGCCCGTAGCACCCACACCTGCCACAAAACCACAAACTCTGTCCACTGTGCCACTGCATTCGATGAGAGGAGTCAACAAAGCCCCCCGCTATATGCAACAGGGCTTGGGGGGGGTTGTTGAAAATCACTCCGTTATAGTTCAGGGGCTCGAAACAGGGTGACTGACGCCAGAGGGTGGTCCGCGCCTTTGTGGCCGAGCCCCCACATCGAGTACACCTGCGCCCTGTCTCATCAAGGCAATGGTCGGTAGAGAAGAGGGAGAGAGAGGCAGCAGAGGGGGGCGAGGGGGCAGGGGCGACCTTTTTCCCACGAGGCACAACTCTATTTTCAGCTTCGGCATCGCAGGCATCCAAGGTGGCCCGCAAAATCCGCATGCGTACAAGTCGAGCTCTGCGCTCGTGCCACAGAACATTCGATCGCACATCCTGTGAAACTCTCGCCTCCTTGGCTGCGAGGCCCGCCACCTCGTCAACTACAGCATTGCTAGTGACCTTCCATCTCGGCGCCACACCCCTCACAATGTCTTGGGCTGCGAGGTGGGAGTGGGTGAAATCAACTGTGATCGATGCAGCGCCGCCTGCTCGCTCCTTGAGAAGCTGGCCTAGCTGCGCCCACAAATCCTTCTCATCGCCTTGGGGCCGATCATAGCGGCCTGCGAACCACCCTTTGACAACTGGTTCGCAGCCTGAAATGAACAAAATGAAACCTCTGGTGAGCCAGACCGCGAGCAACAGGGCCCTGAGCTCTCCCCTCGCCACGACTTGGCGAGGACCACACAGAGGGCCGCGCACCGTGCCAATTAGCTCAACGCAGGGCTCAAGCGAGGCAAAAAGGGCCACGGCTACACCGACTCGGCGAAACAGGTTGCTGCTACTGTCGGGCCCTCCACTTGCATCACCGCTGATGAGGAGAGGGCTGTCGATGGAGCCTTCACCCCAGCACCCTGCAGAGACTGCATTGAATCCCTCAGGGGTCCAGCATTCGGTATCCTGTGGCGGGGGTACGGCTGTCCAGGCCGCGGGAAGCATGCCCCTGAGCCAAAACCCCTCATCCATGTCCATCTGCGCTAGGGCCTGCGGTAGCAAGTCCTGCGAGTCATCGTATGCAACCTTCCCTTGGTTGCACTCGCACAGCCAGATGCGGTGCTTTGCCGTCTCTGGCTCCTTGCCGCATCGTGGGCACAAAACGTCGCCATCAAATTTGGCAATCTCGTCTTTGCGCCGCTGCATCGGCCAAGAAGCTCCTATGGCACAAGCAAGCATGGTCTCTGACAGACGATGCCCGTACTCAGGAACAGCCGCCAATTGCTGCAAAAGCACGCGGCACGAGGTCACATCCACACCGCGCTCGAGGCCTGCTCCGCAAAAGTGGCGGCTGGCCTTGACCCACAGCTGGTGCCTGAGCGAGGCGCGGAAGTCCTCCCGGAAGGCACTGTGCGAGTCGAGGGCCTTGTCGCCTGTGTACATGGCATCGTCGAACTTCCATTCGTCGCCCGCTGCCTCATGGGGTGGTGGTATGGTCCAGGCCGTAGGCTCATCCACACCCCAGCCTGCCTCCAATAGATGTAGTACTACAGCTGTGAGAGGTCCTCGTACATGGCGAGATCGTTGGCCTTCTGGTATGGACCGAAGGTGCTGTACAACTTGGCGCCAGGCTTGTCGCACTCCAGGTCTGATCTCGGGGCGGTCCCGCCACGTAGTGAGCCACTGATCCAGGCATGCTGTGGGCATCTGGATGGCGGGGTCCACATCTCCAGCTCGTAGGGCGAGTAGGCCGGTCAGACATCGCCCCCTCGTGGGGGCCGCCAAAGAAAAACCCAATCGTCGTCGGATATCCGTCATCTTGCTGCCGAAAGCGCCGTGGACTTGGTGCCCATACACTCCAGCAGCTTGGGCGCCCTGTCGCTCGAGGCGCCCGCACGTTTGATACTTCTTGGCCGTCCAGGCGAAACGTCGCACCTTGGCATTCATGCGCTTGTGCTTGGCCTCGCGGACGACGCGGGTCGAGCGCCCGTGCCTGCTGCCACCAGCGACGTCGACGCCCAGGTATGCCGCCTGGAGCTTGGGGAGGATGGTGAAACCTGCCCTCTTGACTCGTGCAGCGATCCACTTGGCGTCCTGACTGTGTGAACAAATGACAACGGACTTCGGGGAGACGGTGAGCTGCTTGGCCTGCAGTTCCTGACATGTCTCGATGATGCACGATGCGAGTTGTCTCCTAACTGCGGACCTCGACCCACATGTCCCTTGCGAAGGTCATCTATCCAAATCCGATGGCTCACTCTGGGATGAGCGACTGCGATGGCTGACAGCACGTAGTGGGTCATGGCCTTGCCGAATCTCGTGCCTGAGCGGAGGCCCTGCACCGCGCTTCGCGTCGGCTGAAAAGCCCGCGATGTGGCCCCAAGCTGGCTCACTGTGCGCGCTGCCGCGCACTGCAGCAGCTCGAGGTAGAGGATCCTCGGCGGGAAGGACAGGTTGAGGGAACACAACACCAGCCCTGGCCACTCGATGGAATCGTAAAATGACTTAATGTCAACAAGGCCCTCTCCGACAGCGATGCCCAGATGATGCGGTACTTCCTGCTGGAGGGCTCTCGCAAATGCTTCCCTCAAGCTGGGGTTCCCTCGCACTGCTGCGTCCCAGCACGCCTCCGTGTCGCTGCTCCACTGGCGCACCAACGGCTCACGAATCAAACTCCATAATCTGCCAACCATTGAGACGAGCCCGATGATGCGGTCGCCCGTGCTCTTCCTGGGCAGCATGCGCCCAACGATCATGAGGACCTGAGCGGGCCCAACGAGATGGTACTCGCAAGCCTCGAACAGCAGCGCCAACTCAGCGAGGGCCGAATCTGGGAGACGCTCGAAGCCCCCTGGGGAAAGCATGTCGGCACCAAGCCCCGCTCGGGGCCGCATCTGTCGCACGGCTGCTCTGATGTCCTCAACCGAGATGGGTGGTAGAACATCGTCCTGAGCTGCCTCTCGAACCTGCTGAAAGGTATGCTGCACTAACTCCTCATCCATACTATGAGGCGCCCATAGATCATGCCAACCACGAGTCTTGACGTCTATGATGTCCTTGGGGTGGTAGAGCACCTCCCCCTCGTGGTCGGGTTCTTGTGCTGGTAGACCCTGCGGGTCCAATGAGCGATGCAGCGTGCCTATAGACTCGGCGGTGCCCATAAAATCTCTGAAAGCTCGAATGGACCCCTGGACTGCACGTCGCTGCGCTCTGCCCATGACACGCTTGGACAGGAAGACGTACTGCTCCAGCTCCTTGGCGGGCACCTCGCTTGCAGCTCGGATGACCCGCACCCATTCATCCCATGGTGGTTCGCGCTCAGCTAGCAGAACTCGCCGAGCTTCATCTGGTCGAGTGTCCAGATGTCGTACACAGGCAGCCGTATACTGAGCAACCTGTCGTGGTCCATTACGCTTGTCACGACGCAAGTGTAGTCCTGAAAGAAGTGTGTGTGGCTGCGTCCACCATGCACTGACTTGATCTCTAAGCGCCGCAACTCGCGCTTTGCCAGGCATCTTGACGGTGGTCACCTTGAAACGCGGCCCCTCTGCTCGACGCGGGCCCGGTGGAATATCAACTCCATGGTGCGTAGAAATGCTGGATTCGACAGCGGACACCCAGGAGGCCTAGAGGCCTGAAATAGTGGAGACAAGATCTGGCTTGAGCCGAACTGCTACGGACTGACGCAGAGCAGGAGCAAGGGACTGAAGCGAGAACGAGCCAGGTGCAAACCCGACTTCCCTCCGACACCGCCCCCACAGCTCAGGAGGTATTGCATAAGTCGGGGCTCCTCCAGAGACTGCCACGTCAGGGTCCGAGGGCAGGTCTCCATTGACAGGTTCAGAACAAGACGAGTTCCCAAAACTTGTAGTGTCTAACGGGCCTAGAGGGTTCCTGGGGACGAAGCTGGACTCTTTGGCCCACGGGTCCTCCTCCTCTTCAGGCCGTTCTGAATAATCTAACTCGGCAACGTGCTCCCTAGGCTCTAAGCGGGCGGTGTCTTGGTCCCCAGACTCCTCCCCCTCAGAGTGCGCACAAGACGATTGAGGCCCACTATCGCCAAACAATGATGTGAGTTTCTGGGCGCGCCTGTCAACCGCATTCTGATGCTGGACTTGGCGCTCAACCTTAGCGAGACTGGGTTTCGAACCTACTGTAGGCTCAGAGGTGGGACGCGGGACCTGCGGCAAGCGTCCTGGCACCTCAAGGATCCGAGTGATGAGTTGTTCACCTGAACTACGAAGAGTGACCTCGAGGCCTATGTGAGGCTTCCAGGGAACAGCTAGGACAGGCGTGACAGATACGATGAAAAGGGACCGCTGATTTACTGCACAAAACGTAATCAATGACCGTGCCCGTGCCAAGATTACAAGTTGCCGTGTCGCCAGCGGTAACCACAGTGCCGTGCAGTCTGTCAGGGACGCCTGATCGAACAAAATTTTGAGGCGAGATGTTGAAATCACCGAGCACTATCCACGGCAACTGGAGCGACCACAGGAGGCCTGCAAGGCGCTGGTACCTACCAGCGTTCAAGCCTCTCACCCCCACTCCGCTGTGCGCGTAGAAGGACACGATGACCATGGAGAAACCAGAGAAGTGCGCTGTCACCGCCACGAACCCGTCGAGCGAGGATGGGTGGCTGGGCGCCTGCAGCTTGGATGCCGCGAGCTTGGATGCACTGAGCCTGGCGACCTGGAGGCGGCTCTTGGACATGAACCACTCGCCCCCCTCGCTCGCGAACTCGACATGGTCGTCTGTGACGACTCTCTGGGTACGCCTAGCTGGATTGGCGTGAAGGCGAAGCCCTTTCCCCCGAGCTTTGCCGTCGCACTTCTTGAGAGACTGCTTATCATGAATGTGAGTCTCGACGATACTGAAGAAATCGTGTGGCTGCCCAACCAGGCATGACCACGCCTTCTCCCCCATGCAGGTGACACTCCCGTGGAATATTTTGGCCGTGCGGCCTCCCTCTGTCGGCTCCTGGGCCGACTGGTGACTAGGCTCCGTACCTAGTCACTCGTCCTGCTTCTTGTCCTCTGTGGTCTGCTGCGGCTGTGGCTGGGGAGGGGCGCCGACGCCCTTGCCATTGCTCTTGCCCTTCTGGTTGGCCATGGCCTGGAACTTCGCCTCCGACAGCCTCTGGGCCTCGGCCTTCACGGCCTCGGTCTCGGCCTCGGCGGCCTCGGCGGTGCCCGCTGGGGAGGCCGTCTGCGTGGCGGTGGCGCCCTCGGCACCCTGCGCTCCACGCGCGGCGCTCTCCCCAGGCGGCTCGGCACCCGCGCCTGTGGCAACGCCCTGGCCCTCCGCGTTCTTCCTCTTCTTGGCAGCTCGATCCTCGATCTCAAACTTCAACTTCTGAGCCTGGGCCAGCCACGCCTTGACCTCGGCCCCCTTGCTCTCTAGGTCCGACGCCGTCGCCTCAAGACTCTTACGAAGCTGGCGTAGAACTGCCTTCTCGTGCTCCTCGCACTCCATGGTGTCTATATTCGCGAAAAAACTCTTGTCGTAGGAGACCTCGAAAATCTTGGCCTCGGATGAGCCCTTGGTGTCGGCGCACTGCGTGGTGACGCCCTCGGCGCACGCCAGCGCCTGCGCCGCGGCCGTCCGCGCCTTGAGCGCCTGCGCGACCTCGACGGCGGCCTTGGCCTCCTTGGCCTCGGCCAGCTCCAGCTGCTGGCGGAGCTTCAGCACGTGCGCCACCTGCTGGCCATGGCGGTGATCAGCGTCCTTCCAGGCGCCGTCGGCCCGCCTCAGGGCTTCCACAGGGGTGGTGCCCTTGGCGGCGGCCGCCTCCGCCTCGAGCCGCTCGACCTGCTGCTTCAAGTTGGCCTGGAGCACAGGGTCGGCCGTGGACTCCAGCGCTTGCCTGAGCAAGTCGGCGATGACTGAGGTCTTGTCGTCACCCTTGCGCCTGCCATTGCCTCCGCGGCCAGGGCTCGGCGAACGTAGGATGCCACGTGGGTGCTGCAGCTCCTCGCACTCGTCGTCCGCGAACTGGACGGTCTTCCGACGCGAGGAGCTCGGCTTCTCGTACAGGCCAACCTTCTGGCGGCATCCAGGGCAGCAGAGGTTGTGCTTGCTGGCTAGGATGTCGTTGTACTCACAGCGCTGGCAATTCTGGCACTTTGTCCATGCTCGGCGAGGGGCTGCCTTGCCCGCACCGGTCATGGCTGCAACTCTCGAAAACTAAGATTCGTCTCTGCTTTAGTCGAGGCTGAAGCACAAATGGATGGGGCTGGTTGTGCTTAGCCTAGTCCCTCAAGTGCCCCGTGGCGGCACAGAGACTGGAGCTCGTCAGCTGAAAGCTCGGGCCCCAATGTTACTTTGAGCCAAAATGGCTACGGAGGAGGAGGAAGAGGAGGAGGGGGAGAATGAGGAGGAGGAGGAGGAGGAGGAGGAGGAGGATGGGGAGGAGGAGGAGGAGGAGAGGAGGAGAGGAGGAGGAGGAGGGGAGGGAGGGGAGGAGGAGGAGGAGGAGGAGGAGGAGGAGGAGGAGGAGGAGGAGGAGGAGGAGGAGGAGGAGGAGGAGGAGGAGGAGGAGGAGGAGGAGGAGGAAGAGAAAGAGGAGGAGAAGGAGGAGGATGGGGAGGAGTATGAGCATCAAGGAGGAGGAGGAGGAGGAGGAGGAGGAGGAGGAGGAGGAGGAGGAGGAGGCAGGGGCCACACGCGGATCCCCCACCCAGTATGGCGCCTCGTGGCCCCATAGGGAGCTCCACCCAAGGCCCCAGCGCGTGCGGATCCTATCCAGTGAACGCTTCGTGGCCCCATAGGGGGAAGCCTCCTCGGAAGGCTCGGAGAGCTCCTGGGCCCTCTGCGAAGGCACAGCGGGCTGCTCAGAGGACCACCCGCCTTCTGAGCAGCTTCCCGAGCCTCCTCCGAGGCCACGGCGGGTTCGTCAGATGGCTGGGGGGCTTCCGAAGAGCCCCGCCGCCTTCCGAGAAGGCCCGCGCGCCATCTCGCTTCCCCCCTCGACGCGCCGCCGGTCCTTGCCCTCGATGACTACGTGCAGGATCTGGCCGCCAGCGGTGCCCACGATCAGGTCCTTGGTGCACGACTCGGTGGAGTCCGGGTCCCAGGAGACGGTCTCGACGATGTGGCCCTTGAGCTTCGACAGGGGCCTCGCCTTGCCGTCGAGGCTGAGGTACCAGCTGTCGCCCTGGCCGTTGGTCACCAGGGCGTGGAAGCCTTTGGGCTCGAGCAGCACCTGGCGGCGAGGCAGAGGGGCGAGGACCACCCGGGCGGCCGAGGGGCCGAGCCGGAGCCGCGCGGTCCTGCACACAGGGGTGAAGGGCCCTCGCCCGAGGCACAGTGCACATACGTTGCTGCTCGCGGCTGCGAGCACAGCTTCGCAGTCCTGCTCCTGGCCCCGACCACAGACCACCCCCCCCAGGAGACTGCTCGAGACCCGTCCCGCCGCAGTCTCCTCCCGGGCGCCGCCGCCCCGGCTCCAGCCTCTGGTGCCGCGGCGACTCGACAGGGGGGCCTCCCCCAAAATCCCAGAGGAGGAGGAGGAGGAGGAGGAGGAGGAAGAGGAGGAGGACACCGAGGAGGAGAAGAAACCCCACATCCACCAGGAGGAAGGAAGGAGGAGGAAGCACTTCTTCCCTCTGCCTCTCGGTACCCCTCTGGGGCCCTCCAGGTCGCAGGAAATGGGAAAATCAAACGGTACCGATACCGCGAATTACCCCACGGACCTCGGGGTGCGTTCTGACAAGAATTTCGAAGCGAATCCAGCGGTGGCAACGAGGGCCTCCCCAAAAAAGAGGAAAACGTCCGCAGGGTAGAGGTAGGGGTACCTTTTCTCGTCTGAGGAATAGGGGCGGCGAGGTGGCCACCGCACGTTGCGCCAGGCAGCCCGCCACCCCTGTCCCTCGGCCCTGGCCCGTCGCGGAGGAGGACCCTGTTCCTCCCCCTGCACAGTTGGAGCCCTGGGGACCCATAACCACTCATCGACTGCACGCTCGGAACTGCTGCTGCACGGGTACATCCACGGGGCCTGCACGAGCAAGAATCCGCATGCCCAGGCGAGACTAGTAGACTGGAGCTGAGGATTCGAACGACCCACTGGACAGAGGAGGAGGAGGAGGAGGAGGAGGAGGAGGAGGAGGACTGGACCCCCTTCTCCCTCCCCCTCATCGTAGCGCCTCCGCCGTCTTGCCATCCTGTCGCCTCCGTTCCCTCCTTCCCCGATCACTAGCTAGTTTTACGTTCGCCCCCCAGGCTGCGAAGCCAGCCTGTGGGGGGGCATGGCTGCGCCTGGCACAAGCACCGAAGCCACCGAGACCGAGCATCGCTGAGAGGACCAGGGTAGGCCCGAGACGCGACGGCGATGCTGCAGCACAGCCTCCCGTCCAACAGCCCCCTCCCGAGCAGTCCCTGGAAGAAACCTTCCTCGCTGCGCAAAGCGCCCTCTCTTGAAAACGTCGGGCCGGGCGAAAGGGGGGCATAGCAAAGGGTGGGGGTGAGAATCAGCTCTCGTAGCTGATTTTCCCGGCGCCGCCCGGCGCCGGGAGGCGCCCATGTCTCGAGGAGTGGGCCCGGCGGCGGGGCCGAAACCAGCTGCACGCAGCAGATTTCGTAACCCCCCTTTCCCTATCCCCCCCTTTCATTCGGCCCGAAAAAGACAGGCCCCCCCTCCCTCGGGAGCGGCCAAGAGGGGGGTGTCTAAGAGGGGGGGCGTGCAAATCATGACCGGCGGCATGTGCGCGGGCCCAGCGGGGGGGCCAGGGAGGCAATGAAACAAGAAGAGGCGCCACGAGATCTGGGGAAATATCATGGCCCCCGCCATGATACCCATCCCCCCCCCTAAGTCACCACACCCCCCCTTTGCCGCCCCCCCCCCCCCCGCGGATCCGCAAAGTCGGGCCGGGGCTCCGGTGGAAAGAAGCTCTGCCCTCCGCCCGTCGAGCTGCCAGCGGATTCGCGGCAGGGCGGGGTCGGGGAGCGGAAGGGAGTGCCAAGCGGTTACCCGGAAGGAACAGGAAGGGAGGAGGAGGAGGAGGAGGAGGAGGACGAGAAGGAAGAGGACGAGAAGGAGGAGGAGGAGGAGGAGGCATAGGAGGAGGAGGAGGAGGAGGAGGAGGAGGAGAACCCCGCGCTGGAAAGGAGACACACCCTCCGGCCGTGCAACCTGCTGCACGGCCTGGAGGCTTCTGGCCACGAGCTCTCGAGCGAGAGCCCCGTTCTGAAGTGAGCCATCCCTTCTCGCGCAACATGCTTCTGCGTGAGGCGATGCGTGGTGAGGAGGTCTCCGGCGCAAGACCACTGCTTCACACGACACGCCATCCATCCGTGTAACTGTCAGGGGTGGTTTGAGACGAGCGTGCGCGGCGCCCCCCCTTTTGAAAACGGTTCGCCTTACATCAGCGTAGCTGTTGGGATTCGTTGAGACGAGCGTGCGCAGCGCCAAGGCGAGAGTCACACCTTGAAGAGGGAACACCATCCACCAGCGCAACTCTTGGGAGCTTGAGAGACAAGCGTGCGTGGGGCCAACGCGAGCGCCCCAGGTTGAAAACTACCCACCCGCAACGACACGCCCGGTGGTCAAGCTTCAAGATCGTAGTGGAGACGTCAAGCTTCAGGATTCAAGATGAAGATTCAAGATGACGCTTCAAAATCGTCAAGTTTCAAGATGAAGCTTCAAGATCGTCAAGCTTGAAAGCGGTGGAGACGTCGAAAGCTTCAAGCTCGCAGCCTGTGAAGAGGCCTCGGGCCAAACGCCCAGCCCCCGCAGCGACGCGCCCGGTGGTGCGGCAGGGGTAAGCTGCAGAAAAGAGACATGGAGGAGGAGACTCTACAACCCTCGTCAAAATTATCCTCAAAAATGTCTGACGTGGTTGAACTGCTTGTCGGAAGATCCGGGGCCGAGTATCGATGAGTGCGGGTACTTGCATGCGCCGCCCCTCCAATGTCGGTCGACGTCAAACTTTCGAGTCAACTTCGGTCAGACTATCTTTGCCCTCGCCCCGACATTGAAGGGGCGGCGTGTCGACATTGAGGAGCGCGCCGAAATCGAAATGACGTGCCAGCAACTGTTGAGGTTAATTTTGACGAGGGTAGTAGGATTAGGTCGGGCACGTCCCCCGTACAGGCGACTTTGGGCCAAATGCTCAACAATAGTGAAACGTGCTCAAGAATAGCCAGAAAAATTAGAAACATCACCACCTATGTTTTAAACTGTGTTTGAACACTCCTCCTGCAGAGGGACGGGCCCGACTTCATTCTAGGAGTCTCAGTTGGCCTCGCGCGCGCCCAAAAACGGGGGGCACGAGAGGCCCGCACCCAACAGAAAACAGGCAGCCGCCCGGCGACGGCGGCGGCCGAGACGGCGGCAGCGACGACGACACGACGGACGACAGACGGGACGCCCGCAGCAGCAGGGCCGCCAGCGGGATGAAGGAGGAGGACGAATAGGAAGAGGAGGAGGAGGAGGAGGAGAAGGAGGAGGAGGAGGAGGACGAGGAGGAGGAGGAGGAGGTTAGTGTCTCCTCCTTCTCGCCGTCAGCCGCTCGCCCTGCGGCAATATTATTTTGTATGCATTGCCACCTGTCCGGCCCCGCCGCCACGGTCAAAAACCAGGGGGAGGGGGGGGGGGGGGGGGGAAACGCCGAGCGCGGGCAAGGGCGCCTGACGCAGCAGCAGCAGCCGAGGGAGGAGGATGACGCAGCTCTCACGCGCGGCATCGCCGCGCAGGTGATCGCGGCGCGCTGCGGCGGGCCAGGGGTGGCCAGACGGCAGCAGCAGCGGCTGCGCTCAAGCATCCCGGAAGCAGGGGTTCGCACCGAGAGGAGCGCGACGCTGGCGGCGAGAAAGAGTGAGCGGCTGAGGCTCACCTCTCAATGACGGGCTGGGTCCAGCGGGTCGCTATGGGGATGAGCAGCAGCAGAAAGAGGGTCGCATGAGGTTTGCGGGGGGCCTCGCAAGCCTGCACCTGGTTGACTCAAAAGGGGGTCCAGCTGAAAGGGGGTGGTGCAATAGATTTGGGGCAATTGCATTGCAAATTTACTGCGCAAGAGAATTGTACTGCATTGTATTGCAACTAATGCATTGTACGCGAAAATCCAGCAATGCTCTTGCGCACTGTAATGTATTGCGCGCCCAAAATCTATTGAAACGCCACAAACTTATTGCATCAAATCTACTGCACCACCTTCTTTTCGCTGGAGCCCCTTCTGGGTCAACCAAAATCTCCAGAAGAGTCTGCAACGCGCACACCAGCCCAAATGAAGTCGAGGAAGAAAAGAAGGAGGAAGGCGAGAGGAGAAACAACACTCAGGGAATGAGTCAGGAAACTACCAATGCTCCAAAATACAAGTGCCAGCCTAGGAAGTATCAAACTCGATAACAGGAAGAAGGCGACGAAAACGGAGCCCAGGCGCAGAACGACGGGGCGCCTTCCTCAACTCGGTGCACCGGTCCTTCCCGAAGTCCACCAGCGACGCCTCCTGCTCGATCGGGTACCACCGGACGACGTCGCCGCCCTGGAGACCCACGAGCGCGCTGCAGTTGCCCACGGCGGCGCCGCAGAGGGACCGCGTCCTCGCGCCGAGGTCCTCCAGCCTCCGCTCGAAGTCGGCAGAGCACGCGGAGAAGACGGCCCGGCGGCCCGAGGAGGCGGCCCGATCGCGCCCGCCAGTGACCAGGCCCTCCATACTCCTCCTCCTCCTCCTCCTCCTCCTCCTCCTCCTCCTCCTCCTCCTCCTCCTCCTCCTCCTCCTCCTCCTCCTCCTCCTCCTCCTCCTTGACTCCCACACCATCCTCCTGCTGTTTCCTCCTCCCCCTCCTCCTCCCCATCTTCCTCCTCCTCCTCGTTCTCCACCCCTTCGTCCTAGTCGTCTTCGTCGTCCTCCTCTTTCTGTTTTCCTCCTCCTTCTTCCTCCTCCTTCCTCCCCCTCTCCTCCTTCTCTCCTTCCTCCTCCTCCTCCTGTGCCTCCTCCCTTCCCCTCTCCTCCCACTCCTCGTACTACTCTCTCCTCTTCCTCCTTTCCTCCTCTCCTCTCCTCCTCTACTTTCCTCCTCCTCCTCCTCCACTCCACCTTCCTTCTCGACTCTAATCCTCCTCCTCCGCCTCCTCCTCCTCCTCCTCCTCCTCCTCCTCCTCCTCCTCTTCTTCTTCGTAGTAGTATTATTATTCGTCTTATTATTATGTTGTTTCTTCGTATTCTTCTTCATATTATTCTTCTTCTTAGTATTATTTTTCTTATTAGTATTAGTAGTATTATTCTTATTATTATTCTTATTCTTATTATTATTTTGATTATTATTCGTCTTCTTCTTCTTATTATTATCCTTAGTATTATTATTCTTATTTTTATTTTTATTATCATTATTATTCGTATTAGTATTAGTATTAGTATTATTATTCGAATTATTATTAGTAATATTATTATGATTCTTACATGAACCACGCGCGCGCTTCGCGCGCGCTTAGGTTCTGTCGAGTCACAGACCCAGGAATCGTTGTGAGAAGAAATTGGTGACGCGAAGCGTCGTGGGGGCGTCCTTGGACGTCTGGGGTCTCCTGGGGCCTCTTGAGGGGCCTCCTGGGGGCCTCCTGGCGGCCTCTTGGGGCGGAAGGCTCGAGCTTGCGGTTCGTGGTTCCCCTCTGGGCCCCCTCTTGGGCCCGTCTTGGGGCCCTCTTGGGCCATCTTGGGCGCCTCTTGGGCCGTCTTGGGGCCCTCTTGGGCTGTCCTGGGGCCCTCTTGGAAGCTTCTTGGGCCGGTCTTGGGGCGGTCTTGGGCGCCTCTTGGGCCGTCCTGTAACGTCGGAAAGCCCAAAAGGCGACTTTGTGAAAAATGTACGTTTTACGACGGGAATGGGTCAATGTTTGCGTCTAGGGGCCCTCTTGGGACGCATGTTGGAGGCTTCTTGGGGCGTCTTGGGGGCGTCCTTGGACGTCTGGGGTCTCCTGGGGCCTCTTGAGGGGCCTCCTGGGGGCCTCCTGGCGGCCTCTTGGGGCGGAAGGCTCGAGCTTGCGGTTCGTGGTCCCCTCTGGGCCCCCTCTTGGGCCCGTCTTGGGGCCCTCTTGGGCCATCTTGGGCGCCTCTTGGGCCGTCTTGGGGCCCTCTTGGGCTGTCCTGGGGCCCTCTTGGACGCTTCTTGGGCCGTCTTGGGGCGGTCTTGGGCGCCTCTTGGGCCGTCCTGTAACGTCGGAAAGCCCAAAAGGCGACTTTGTTGAAAATGTACGTTTTACGAAGGGAATGGGGCAATTTTTGCGTCTAGGGGCCCTCTTGGGACGCATGTTGGAGGCTTCTTGGGGCCTCTTGGGGGCGTCCTTGGAC